GTATAATTTTAATCATGTGTATTCAATTTTAATTGATTAGCATTGCATTGCATGTTGAATGATTTATAGGCAATATGTATGTAATTGAACTTGTGAATGAGTGATAAGTCAATGACCAATATTATTTTGGAGCTTTTTGAATGGAATTAAGCTGATTTATTGGTTTTCAATCGTATGAAATTGCTTTGGTGAAATTACAAAATTGAATTTATTTTGAATCAAATTAAATTTGTTTTTAATGATTTATTTTATCTATTTTTATTCATGAAAATGTTGAGGGCAATATTTTTTCAAGATGGGTATATTATAACAACCCGAAATATGAAAAAAATTGTATTTTAAAATGAAATTTTGAATTTTTGTTTAAACTAAATTAAGCACTTCGGTGCTGTGCTTTGGAGCGCTGAGGTGCTAAGATTAAGAGTACAATGTAGCCAAAAATTGCCACCTTGGTGTTTTAGTCTTTGTTTTGCAATAATTTTGAATTTAGCATGCGTCACTATAACGTTAGGCCACTAATAATATTTTTTATGTATATTTTATTATAAATTGTAAGCTCTAAAGCTCCAACGCAACCACCTTTACCTTATTTTTGGTCATGAAGGAAAGGGAGAGGGAGAGGAGAGAGGGAAGAGAGAGAAAGATAATTTTTGGTCATTTTAATGCAGCTTCAGTTAGGAAAAAAATCTTTTGATCATTATAAGTAACTCAAATCTCACGTCAGTTTTCATTGATTTCTAGTTTGATGAATTTAATCTCCTAAATTGATAAAAATGTATTTTATCCTAATTTATCACACTTTTATCGTGATATTTTGAATATAATATTATTAAATTTTATTTTTTAAAATGAAAGTTATGGTTTTTAAAACTATTGATTTTTATATAAATTTTCTTGGATTTGTAGATTTCAACAATTTATATTACAGTTCATGCATGAAAGGGAGATTGATACCTAATATGAAATAAAAATAGTAATTGCATATAAACAAGAAAGGTTGGCTGACAACATTATAATTAATTCAATATTGCTGTTAAAACATAATACCTTGCAAAAGAGTAAAGATGGTTTGTGGCGTTATCCCGATTGCAGCTTGTAATTGATGACTGAATTATGCTGACGGTTAAAAGGTGACAACTCTTAAATGATTATTAAAAACTACCTGAATTGATAAGATGATAAAGTTGTTGTAATGATAATGATAATGATGAATCCATATGAAGAAATGATAATACCACATTAAAGCTGGATGTCTTGCCTTGTTGAACCATATACTGAATCATATACTGATGCAATTCATACATTGATAATAATAATAATAATAATAATAATAATAATAACATTTTTTAGCATTGATAGCACTGATCGATAAAGAAAAATGTATGCATTACAGTACTTATTTCATAAGAATAAATGATTGATAAGATAGATAAGATTGATGACTTTGATGATATTGACACCTGCATGATTGTGCTATAATACTGGTTTATTGATTTTTGATGTATTTATTTCTCGCATCTATCATTAATTTATGGATTTCAATATGATGTTTCTTACTTCTCGTTATTGATCATATTGAATCGTATTAGAGATAACTAATCATTGATGATATTGAAAGCCACTGATTCTATTTATTAAGCCAAGCATGTATATTGATTTCTTAAATCTTTTATTGAAAAAAATTTAACGAGTTTTGAATTTCTATTGGGTTTTGTAAGCTCATTATATGATTTTACTAATTTCAGATTAGGAATGGGGTCAGGATCATATAGAGTGAGATTGATTGAGATCATTATGTTCTTATTTTGATTTTGTACTATATTTTCTTTTATTCTTTTGTAATTAGGAGCTATTGATAGATTAATGATTGTTAGTGATCTCGTGGATATTGTAAATGTGATTTTGGTGAATGAATATAGTGAAATGTTTAATGGTGAATTATATTTAATTGCCTTTTTGTTGGATATTGAGTTATATGGATGATTTATAGAAGCTTTGGCAAATGATTAAAATGATAAAATAGATAATTCTTTCATTTTAGATCTTTGGGAGTAACATCTTCATTCTCTACCCGTCGGTGTAATTAGTTAATCGGTTATAGACTAATATTCATGATTATACCACTACTTTTTTTTATTTAAAAGGAAACTTATCGGTCTAGCCATATGTACACGATATTATGTTTTAATAGTCAACCCATAATAATTATAATGTTTGACTAACATTCAAGATCATACCATAAACTTTTTTATTAAAAGGAAACATGTCAGCTTACCCTCATATACAAGATATTATGTTTTAATAGTCAACACATAATAATGATAGTGTTCATATCTAGCCTTCATTGCTTATATGCAAATATCATATTTATCATATATCATGTATTTCATTTTCTTTATGCGATTCAATAACATGTATAAAATAAAATAATCTATAAAATGCAGAAAAAATTTATACGCTATTTATTAATTTTAGAAACTCATGACTATCAATTTATCCAATAAAATTGAATAATTTTATAGTCAAATTGCTCATAAAAGTTATATTTATCATATATAAAAAATTATACAGTGAAAGTTTGATAAATTGAAAGAAAATACTTTTTTTTTTATCAAATTGAGAGAGATTAAAATAATGAAATACAAAATCACTAAAAATAAAGGTATGATTCAGGTTACCAACCACGTTCATAAGAAATTTCGTAACAAGTCTGATGGAAGAAAATGGCTCGAGCAACTTTCTGTCTTCTCTCTCTCCTCCTCCCATATTCCTTCTTTCTTTCCTTCCCCGGCAAGGAAAATAAAATGGGGAAGCTGGTTGGAGGTAAGGGTTAATGAAATAGATAGAGATATTTTACTATTTTAAAAACTACTAATCTGATCTAGTACCACGATGCTTAACTTTTCAGTGCCACTGCACTCGCTACATGTGGCCTAGAGTAAAAGCGGATCCGTCTAACGCTATAGCACACTCCCCAAATTCTTTTTTTTCCAAAAAAAATTGAGAGCTCAATGCTGGGGCGCCACCACCTCGACTCCACAACAGTCTCAACGAGAATGCGCCATTAAGTACAATGCCACAGTACTGCACCTTGGAATTTTTAGAATTTTCAAATTAAATCATTTTATAAAATTCAAATTATGAGAATTTGATCTCTTAGTTAATGTCGATTAGCTTTCAAATATATTTCACATGCTTTATTAAAGCTCATATTGAGTTAGATTAGATCATTTTTATTGTCGATGAATTTGACAAGTCAAAACATTTAATTTAATTATTAGTTTATTAAAGTCATAATTCTTCTGATAAAAAAAAATGGAACACATTAACATCATACCAATATTGGCAGTTCCCTCTTATGGAAAAATAAAAGCTATGAAAGCAATTAAGAAAGTGGAGTGGAACCACTCCCTAATTAGCTCCAATCAAAGGAGTGATCAACTATACATGACTCTAATTAAGCCTAAACTAATTAAAAGAGAGAAACTCAGATTCAAATCCCATCTTATGGAAGGAAAATTAATGTTCCAAGATTCAAAATTTTAAATTCAGAATATCAAAGTTTAAAGTTATGAATTTAAACTTTAATTAACATTACAACTACATAATGCCCATATTAAGACTTTTTCTATAATGCATGATTGATGATGATTTCTTGGCCCTTGACTCCTTGATCATTTGATCTTAATCTTATGATGAGCCATCATAGCCATTGATTTTATTATATATTCTACTTGAAGTTTTGCATCAATTTTTATTCCTTATAATACACATAATAGAACAAATGTCTTGGATGTTCTTTTTTATTAAAGAAATATAGTTGGAAAAAATGACTTTCATATAAAATTACTTTCAATGAGAGAGAATATTTTATATGCATGAATTACTTATTGAAGTCAAAGTCCCATAAAATTGGTTTGAATTGGCTTAAACCATTTGTCATTCTTGCAAGAGGAGTCATGTGTGACAATAAATATTTATACTCCCATATGTTATTGGTTCAATCAATTCCTTCCCCGACGCACTCCTTTGATTCCGTCGATGCTTTCCTCAACGAGTCATGTTGCGAACTCCTCTTGTCCTCCACACATTGTTAGTCCTATTAATGCATTCCCCAATGAGTTTCGCCACGAACTCCCTTTTCTTTCACGTGTCTACGATCCTATCTATGCCTTCCTTAACGAGCTCAATCACATCCTCTTCTCCTTCACATGCGGCCAATCCCGTCGATGCCTTCATCAACCAGCTCCATCCCCAATCACTCATCTTTTAGTTATATGTTTCTTCTCACAATTTGCCTGTGGTGAACCTTCCACATCTCTAATATTTATAGTGACATCACACTTCTCCTAATTCAATCTCTTGTTGGTTTTGTAATGAGCAATCCATGAATTCAAAAGATTTCCCCTAATTGGTGGTAATTTTACCCAAAGCGAAATTTTCAAACATATTTCACCACGAAAAAAAAAAAAAACAGCGGATATTGCAATCAATTACATTTATTTTGAGGCATATAAAATCAAATTTCCCAAAAACTTTATTTTCGGACATTTCCTTATTTACAAAATAATCATCAATATTTATTATTAACAATAATAATTGGTGTCAATCTTCTTAAGATTTCACAAATGTTAATTTATATTTTGTTGTTTAAAACAAGCTTAATATAGAAGATTCACCCTATAGTTTGTAATTGAACTTTCTCTCTTCTTATTTTAAATCTCAACTCCAAATGATGACTAATGTTCACACTTTTCTTTGTTTTTCCATGCAGAGATTTAGGTTTCGCTTGGAACAGCTTTCTCACTGTTTTCAGAAAATAGTAAGAATTCCGTCCCAAACGAAGCCTTAAAAAGGGTGGGCCTATCAAGAAAAAGGAAAACAAAAGTTTTATTTATACATTGTTAAAAAAGAGGACATATATTAAATAAAATGAATCTCAATAAATTGTTAAAAAACATCAAATTTACGTATTTGCCATTCTCATACAGCCAAACATGTAAAAATTCTGATAAATTTATAAAGAGCCCATGAACAATTACATCCTACATTACAGAAAAAGAGAAACAAAAATAATAATAATAAAATTAAAATGTAAAGAATTGGTATCAGAAAAACTTGCAAAAGTACTTTGGTAGTATGATTATTGCATCTTATCAGATACTTGATCAGAAACTACTTCTGTTGCTGCACTTTGCTTTCAAAGAATTTTTTTTTTTACTGTATTCTGCTTCTTTCAAAGCTCCTTCCTTACATATGAAGACCAATTATGTCCAATTAGGAGTTCGATGTAGATGAGCTGTGTCTCTCTGTGTCTGAAGTGAAGTTTTCATCAATAGATTCATTAGATTGGTGTTCCTCTGCATCTGAAGCCTCTGAAACAAGCCATTTAAAGATATCATAACAAAAATTTCGCAATTATATAGACAAAGATATAATGAAAGAATATAAGGAAAGAGTACCAAAGAGGGATTTGATTGATCTTCGAGTTGATTTGCATGTTTTCTTCTTTAATTCAGCTGGAAGAGAAAGAAATGAAAGTACATATGAGGCAAGATGATAAATACAATTGAATCAAATGGATATTTGCTATTTGTATTAATTTGTTATCTAAGGCTTCGTTTTGGACAGTTTTTGGTCACCGTTTTTTTATTGCTTTCAAAAAATTTTTGTACCATAAAACTTTTTAGAAAACCATAAGAAAACTGCCCAATTGAATCCTAAGATAAAAATTTACAACTAATTACTTAGAGGAATAAGAACAGTGGAAGTGTCATTCCTTGAGATAGCAAGAAAGAAAATTCTAAAATCATTTATTCCAAGTATTAGCCAAGGAAACTATTATTTTGTATTTAGAAGATTTGAGGATCTTCATCAATGCCTTGATGTAAGCTTGAGATGCATGATGGGATAACAATTCACTGGTATCTGGCTTAAATCAATAAATTTCCAAATCTTCCAATTTGTTTGGCTACTAATAATAAGAAATTTTATACAATAAAAAATATAAATTCCTAAAATTGTAAATTATGAACAAACAATTTTTGCTATTCTTTCTTATTGAATCTGCAAAAAATTGAAGTGAAAACCGACTAAGGCTTCATTTGGGATCGCTTTTTTATTGCTTCTTAAAACAACTTTTTAGTTTAAAAATTAAAATTTTTATACCAGAAAGCTGATTTAAGAAGCACTAAGAAAGCAGTCCCAAACGAAGTCTAAGATAACCTAACTTAGGCTTAGTTTGGGATGGCTTTCTAGCTGTTTTGTAAAGTGGCTTTGTAGTACAAAAAATTTAATTTTTGTACTAAGAAGCCACGTTAAAAAGCAGGAAGAAAGTCATCCCAAATGAAGCCTTAATCCCTGAAATCACTATTGTAGTGATAGAAAAAAAGATGAACAATTAATTTGGATGCCTGTGTAGGGTTGTCAAAAAAGCAAAACAGCTCGTCTTTTTTACGAGAAAAAAACTCATGTTTGATTCATGTGTTAAGTAAGTAAATTGATATTCAATATTATTTTGAGCTCGTTTTCTTATCGAGCAGAACATACACAGAGTTATGTTCAATCATGTTTGGTTTGTTGTTGGCTTGATATATATATATATATATATATATCTATATATATATATATATATATCATAGACCATTCATCCCTTTTAGAACAAATGAAATCTAATCACATATCTAACTCTTACTAAATGAATAAAGGAGTTTATAGTTTACTTTTTAAAATATGTGTAATTTCGATGATTTAGAATCTTTGCCCCAGACAATTGACATTATTTTATACTATTCACAAATAAATTTATATTATATATTTAAGCTTAATTCGTTTCCTTAATTTGTAAATATTTTATACGTAATTTTAGTTAATAATAATATAATTTACAAATAAAATAAAAAAAAATTTTCCGGACTATTGATTTGTCTATCTAATAAATAGCAATTAAAAAGACAAATCGATACTTTAGTTCAAAAGATTCAGATCTTATGTGAAGTAAAATAAATGTTCATATTTAACTATTACTAAAATTTAATTAATTTCATTAATCATTTATTTCATTATTATTTCTCATTGTGACATTTTATGCATTAATTGAGATAAAGGGTCAAAGCATATATAGCTCCAATTTACTGATGGTCTAATAACTTAGTGAAGATATTCTCTCTCTCTCTCTCTCTCTCTTTATCTATATATATATATATATATGTATGTAAATTAAGAAATGATATTAAGGAAATGGATGGATTGAAGATAAAGTGATAGAAACAATAATTTAGCTGGTTTAAGAATGTATAATACAATCTAGTAAATATGCCTTTTAGAAGAGTTAATAAAATTAGTGTCAGAGTATTAGAAAGATAGTGATCAGACCTAATATAATAGGTATATAATTTATTCAAAATTATATGTGAAAGATAGATTCAACACCTCAGGTAGCATTAAATTAGAATGAATGAAAAATGAGTATTTATAAAACCAATAAGTTAATGATGATGATGATGATGATGATGATTTAGTTTTGGTCCGCAAAAGTTCCTACTTTGATCTATGATAAGAAACAACTCATAGATATTAATATTTTACTTGATAAATCTTTACAGGGAAATAATACAGAGTTGCAATAGATTCTTTGGATCGCCTAAATTGATATTTAACCGAAAGAACTGACCTTCAAAATCCATGACAAGTAGCTAGTTATATCAGACATGATATTTACGATTGAGTTATGTCCAAGAATAATTACTACGATTTCCAACTAGGGTAAATTGCTCTATGACACATTTAAGTTTCATACTTCCTAGCATTCCTATATTTCTTCAAGAAAATATGGAAGATACGGTTTACTTGTACCAAAAGATGACAGGAGAGAGTACTTACCTTTCTCCATGGTCCTGGTCTTGATGAAGATTGAGCTGGGGCTGCAGACTGTAATAATAGAAACAAACAGAGTTTGTGTAACTCATATGTGGGAGAATTTGCAAACATTAATTTAAAACAAATTTTACCTCTTCAAATTTTTCAAAGTTTTGGGTGTCCAATTCATCCTTGACATTTGGTATGAAGGCAGCTTCCATTTCATATAACCTATCCCATTCAACACCTTCAAACCAAGGATGATTCTGAAATTAAGGAGAACAATGATTAATTTTGGCTTCAGAGAGTAGATAAAAAGATAAGTTTGTGTTATATCGAATAGAAAGATAAATACCATTATCTCATATGCACCATTTGAGCCAAGCCTCTGATCTACATTGCATAAGAGCTTACTTATAAGGTCTTTTGCTAGTGGAGATAACTTAGCTTCATCAGGGAATTTCAGATGTGTTCTCCAGTTAACTATCTGAGAGTTGTTATTGGATAAAATGCATCAGATGTCACGAATCATGAAAATTATGAGGCATAACATACCAAAACGACCACAAGGATTCTTATCAGCAATGGCTTCATCATCTTAGATAAAATTGAAAAATACATCAAACTTCACTATCATAGATAGTTTGAAAGCTACATCTAGGTCCATTCATTGATTGGAGATGATATAAAAGAAGAATGATTGATACATAGTTAGAAAAAAATGTTAGCTAATAACTACAAGAAATTGTTTGTAAGTACTCCACTTCAATTGGCTACAACAACAAGTTTTTATCCTACTACGTGGGGTCAGCTACATAATCCATTTTCTATATTGTATCCTATTAAGAAACAAATTCTTTTTAAATCTAATAAAAAAAATATATCATTTCTACTATTTTCTAACCAAATCTTTTTAGGTATACATCTACTTCTCTTAACACAGGCCACATCTAATACATCTGCTCTAAATTCAATACCTAACATAACCCTCCACTTTTCTCATCCAGAGTTTGAGACCTAACAATGACAGTATTTCCGCTTCAATTGCCTATGATCAATAAGCAAAACTAGCAGTTTTGTCCAGCAAAAAGGAAAAATTAAGTATTTTCTTTTTATTAGAAATGCATTCCCCTGAGAAATGGACATGAGCTGTTTCAATCACCATGTTATCAAGTTTAGGGGAAAATATGTTTCAGGATATGACTTTTTTCCTTCAACTAGCTTAGTTATTTCGTTAAATCTTCTCTACTTTTGCTCTAGAATAATGATATGGTCATAGTCATAGAGATAAGCTTGCTTTCATAGTAAATTAGATTGGAGTTATTCTGTAGAACAAGCCTACACCTTTATGGTGGTCTAGTTCCTCACTTTAGTAACCTAATGTTCAAATGATAGTATGAAACATCGTCTTGTAGAACTTTATTTGAACAAAAAATGGAAACTCAAGATTTTCAACCAATAAAATTATCATTCATCTTATAGGTTTGTGACTACATATGACATCATATTGTGAAGTTAGTCATCTCTGAGAACTTTCCTTTTATGCCGTTTGCCAAGATTACATAATTTCTCAAAAACTTCATGAATCTTACATTAGGTTTTCGAGTTACAAACTTACGTGGAAATCTTCTATTTCTCCGAATTTCATAACTAGCATGCAACTATAAAAGGAACATTTATTTGTTTCGCTTGTGAATTATTTTGTTGGTAAAAACGGTTATCATTACGTTATGATACCTTCCTGCATGTAGTCATAGGTTCATCAGAATAAAATGGAGGATAGCCGACAAGCATCTCATACATTATAGCTCCAAGCGACCACCTGCATTCAAAATAAGAAGATGCTAAGAATTTGCATGTCATAGCAGATCAAATGGAAACTAAGATTTTACCAATCACAGATTGGTAAAATCTTAGTCTTCGTTTGGAATTTCTTTCTTATTGCTTCTTAAAACAGCTTCTAATTTTTGTACTAAAAAACTGCTTTAAGAAGCAGTCCCAAACGAAGCCTTAGTTTTGTAATTTTGCATTTCCGTCACATTCGGCAAAAAAATAAAAAATAAAAAAGTTTTTACCAATCACATTCCATTGCATAACCCTTCTTCAACAAAACTTCCGGAGCAATATAATCAGGTGTACCAACAGTTGAGTAAGCCTGCAATTTTTCTATGTCATGGATCTATACATGGAAGCAGATTTGCCAAGAAATACACTAGAATTTGTTCAATACTCTATTAAGTTTTGAACTCATAAATTATAAAAAAAAAATTATTATCATATGCTGTATAGTTTGAATAACACTGGAACTTAAGCAGTGTTTTAAGTTCCATCTAATGTATTTTGGAGGTTCCAAGTTCTGGTCATGAAAATCATCAACCTATTAATGAAAGGGCAGCGTTGCGTACATCTATTTCTTCCTAAATATTGCATAATCGGTAGCTTCATGCATTTGATATATACTTTTTCATAATATACAATTCGAATAAATACAAAAAAAAAACCCTTAGTGATGAGCTTTTACAAGTCACTGGGAATTAAGTGTCATAGTTTGGTGGAAACTAAAACATTAAGATGGATGAGTGGTGAAAGGGAAAGATGAGAAATAGCAATAGATGAGAGATGGTGGGAGTAAAACTCATAGAAAATATGGCAATAAAAAATAGACCTAGGTAATTTGATCAAATATGTATGGGGCAGATGATGCAATCAAAAAGATTACTAGACATAATTAATACACAAGGAAAACAATTGGACTAAAAGAAACATAATTAGAAATTGTGCAAAAAAACTTGCATATAATACAATTAACACCTCATGTTATACTTGTTAGGACTAATGAAGGAACATTTGTAAAGATGACCTCCAACGTTTAGGATAAAACTAATTTTCCAACAAAAGAGTATGCATAATTGAAAATTGCACTAAAATTTTGAAGCACTCTATGTTTCAAGAATTCATTAGATTAGCCCAAGAAATGAGCAGTTTGAAAAATTAATCCGTGATAATATTTTGCACATATGAATGAAGTATCTCTAAATGTTTGAGCTAACAAATACAAGTATGCGATAGGATGTGGATGCAGAATTTGTGAAAATTTATGGCTGAAATCTGATTTCAGCAAACAAGAAATTGGAAAACTAGAGAAAGAACTCAGAATAATACTTTTTTTTATTCAAAATAGCTATAAAAGAAGGACAAGATACAATTGGAGAAGAAGATCCAACTCTCCCAAATCTCTAGCAACTGGCTAGAGCCCAATCAACCTTAAGAACAATCTAAATTCAGCAAATAACATTATATTTCTGAAATCACCCAATTGTTAGCCTTAAATAGGCTCCCCTAATTTTCTCCCAAATCAGCCCCTTTTCCTAAATAATTCCCTCTTATATTTGAATTCAGATTAGATCTCTTGCCCTAAATAATTTCCTTCCAAATGTAATTAAAACTTTCATAAACAACCCCCCATTGATTTCTTCTTGCTTTCTCTAAATATTTCCCTCTTAATTTTGAATTCAAATTAGATCTCTTGCCATAAATAATTTCCTCTCAATTGTAATTAAAACTTTCACAAATAATTCCACTTTGATTGAAAACCTTCCTAAACAACTCCCTCTTGATTAGGAAACTTTCTAACTCCCTCCCAATCAAATCCGCCAGTTAATCAATACTCTCCTCCCAAAGTGCCACTTTATCCTTAAGGTGGAACGAAGGAAACTGTTGTTGAAGCACTGGATTGAAAAATGGACTGTCACTGGGTCGAATGATCCTTGCCTGCAACATCTCCTTGATTAATCTCTCAATCTCTTAATTCAAGATTTAGGGATGCTGATGCAGGCGAACACTGATAGGCATGCTCGCATTCCCGCGAAGGAGACAACCCTTGAACTGGCTGGAACACCCATTGATATTATTGTAGGGGTGGTTGAACCATGCCTGGTTCTTTTATCTTCTCCCCATCTTTTTCTCCATCTAAATTCTGCAACTCTATCAAAAATCTCACTCTTCACCCTTTCCCCTCCTTGGAAGTAACTCTAAAGGTGGAATCTCATTTTCTTCCCCCAACATTTCCACTTCTTGATCTTACCTCTCCTTATCGGATTAGGATTTTCTCCACTCCCTTGGTCGCCAGTGGCTCACCCCGCCTCCGACGATGTTGTTTTGGTTTGAAGCTCGAGCATGTTCCTCACCATCTCTTCCATGATGGTAAACTTCTCATCAATCTTCTCATGAATGGCTGAAAATTACTTTTTGAAATATGAAATCTTTTCTATAAAATCATATTTCAATTGTCTGATCTTCCCTTCCAGCACTTCTACCTTTCTACATGCCTAGGCGGTTCTAGGCTCTAAACATCAAAAGAAACAACAAAAAACAGCAACTTTGGTCTTTCAACAGCAAAATCAGCAAGGTAGAAGGAACAAACGTAACAAAAATCAGCAAGGAAGACTTATATTTCAACCCAGGACACGGCTCAGATACCTATTTGATAGGAAGCAGATGCAGAATTTATGAAAATTTATAGCTAAAATATGATTTCAGCAAAGCAAAAATTGGAAAACTAGAGAAAGAACTCACAACATTTTTTTATTAAAATAGTTATAAAAGAAGGATAAGATACAATTGGATCTTCAATTGGAGAGGAAGATCTGGCTCTCTCAAATCCCTAGCCACCGGCTAGAGCGCATTCAACCTAAGAACAATCTAAATTCAGCAAATAACATCATAATCGTGAAATCACCCTATTGTTAGCCTTAAATAGGCTCCCCTAATTCTCTCCCAAATCAGCCCCCTTTCCTATATAATTTTCTCTCATATTTGAATTCAAATCAAATCTCTTGCCCTAAATAATTCCCTCTCAATTGTAATTAAAACTTTCCTAAACAATTTCCCCTTCATTTCTCATTCCTTTCCCTAAATAATTCCCTCTTAGATTTTGAATTCAAATTAGATCTCTAGCCCTAAATATTTCCTCCCAATTGTAATTAAAACTTTCCTAAACAATTCTCATTTGATTAAGTATCTTCCTAAACAGCTTTCTCTTGATTAAAAAATTTTCTACTTCACTTCCAATTAAATCGGACGGTCCATCACTATAATGACAAGGTATTGATTTTTATTTTCATGTTCCTAGAAGGAGAATCAAAATCAAATATAACATCAAAATATAGGATAAAGTTGATCAGAAACTAGCATGTAAATTACCAATGTTCTTCTGTTCCTCTGCCAGTGTTGTAATTGCTCTTGTTGTGTGCGCTTGGGAGTTGATAACTTTCTTTCATTTTGCAAGGAGCCAGTACTGTAGTTTTTTTCAAGAGTACATTCCCTTTCGTTAAAATAACTAGAGTCTAAAGGCTTGCATAGCCCAAAATCAGACAACTTCAGATGACCATTTCTATCCAGTAAAAGATTATCAGGCTTGATATCTCTGTAATACAAAAAGAAAAGACATAAGAATTTGAACAAATGCAGCAGGTACTGGAAGAATATTTCATGGCACATTATGTTTCAGCAAACCTGTGAATGTAATTGTGCTTGTGAATAGATTCAATAGCAAGAACAGCCTCTCCTATATAAAATCTGGCCTCATCCTCAGTCAATGTATCCTTCCGCATAAGCAATGTCATCATGTCCCCACCAGGTAGATACTCCATTATGAGGTATAAGAAGTCACTGTCTTGAAATGAACAATAAAGTCTAACAATACAATTACTATCAACCTCTGCAAGAATGTTTCGCTCAGCTCTTACATGTTCAACCTAGTCACAATTTCACAGGCAAATCTCAGACACGAACTATAAGAAGTTCATTAACATTGATGTAATATACCTGGCCTCGTCTTAGCATCTCTGATTTCTTGAGTTTCTTCATTGCATATATAGTACCCGTTGCCTTCTCCCTAACAATTCTAACCTGCATTATAAATTTGAAACAAATGACAAGCAGCAACAACAACAACAACAAGCCTTTATCCCACTACGTGGGGTTGGCTACATGAATCCTTTTTCTCCATTGTGTCCTATTAAAAGTCAAATTCTCATTTAAATCTAATAGAGAAATGTCATTTCTAATATTTTCTAACCAAGTCTTTTTAGGCTTGACTCTACCTTTCTTAACATAATTCAAATCTAATACCTCTACTTTCCTAACCGGGTCAGAAGGCCGCTGTTTTATGTGACCAAACCATCTAAGGCGACTCTCTCTAATCTTATCTTCTACTGGAGCTACTCCAACCTTTTCACGTGAATGCTCATTAATTGTTGATTACCAATGGCATGCTCTTTTCTTAAAAAAGCTAGGAACAAATGGAGAACCTTCACATAACTCCACGTTTGCATACTCCAAGGTCATTAAATATGAATCTGAATCATATAGATAGCTTTGAAAAAGGCATTGGATAACTATATAATTTGTTTTCAAAGGATTCATAAAGAGTTTGATACTTTATTTAGCAGATAATAGTTTTTCATTGCCAACAGTTAAAAAAACTTATCTTTTAACTTTGCAAATATAAATTTATTTAAAATTCACTTTGAATGATATTTTTTTTAAAGTACATAAACATAGTTTAACTAATTCCTAAAATAATTTAGAGCTTAATATAACATATATTTAGTTTACCTGAAATAACTTTGGACTAATTGTAATTTTTTATAACTAGTCTTATAATCAACTTTACATACGCAAATATTTAATTTATTAGCTCAAGTTTCACTGATTTTTAACATCAATAAGTATATCCATAATATAATTAATTTTAAGTACTACATTGATTTCTCACTTTTGCCAAACTAAACAATTCATAAAATTTCTAGATTACGAAATATAACAAGTAATTCCTTGATTTTCATAAAACATATTTATAAACAAATGACATCTAATGAATCTTTAACTAATCCATAAATATTTTACAGCATGTGACATAAATAAACAAGCAGTTTTTTTTTTTTATCAAACCAATTTATTTTGCCAAAGTATATTTCTCTTACATAAACTCAGACATACGTAGGTAACATAATAGCAATTCATTTTCTACTAAGAATTTTTTGCATTTTATTATCACTTGTATGAAATGTGGGCAAAATCATATAAGATCAAAAATAAAGAAGTAAATCATGAGTACCATTGCATAAACTTATCAAGCTGTCAAACGCATAACTACACATGAGTAGGAAGTAAGCATAACTTTTAAATTGACTTCTCATTAGAAAATTTAAGATGACAAATATTTCTAAACATCCAGCAGCTAACATCCTAAGCATAGAATTAATGAAAATAAGTTTAACAAATGAGTTAAACTATTACTATAATGCCTAGACACGAACATGGTGACATTGACACAACATTGATACGGGACACATCAATTATTGAAAATATAAGACACTGAAACGGGTTGGACATGGTATTATAACTTTTATATCTTAAAATTAGTGTATAAAAATTGAGTAAGCAAAATATTAAGAATAATTGAGATATAATAAGTTATTTAACTAGGATTTTTTATTAAAATGATTAATAATAGGATTTCAATAGTCGGCCATAGATTTTGTGCCAGGCATCGAGAGGGGAGATGCCAATGTCATCGAGAGTCGGGTATCAATGTAATGTAATGGGAATTGATGATGTTGAGGTGACGTCGGCGTCCATATGGAGATGACGTTGGACAAATATGAGATTTAGAGATGGTGTGGAGTCGTGATGTGGGTGTAGAAATTGCTGGTGTCGAGCGTCAATGCAAGTCAACATCAGACTTCGATGTTGAGAAGTTTTTGAAACACTGATGTTGTGATGGCGCCGAACGTCAATATTGAGATGACATCGTGTGTTATTATAAAACTCTATTCATAAGCCGTTAAAGATGAATGAAAATAGGAATGTTCAAGGAATGGGGCATTGAGCACAAACGATTAATTTAGGGGTGTGGAGAGGAACAAGAAATTTAGTTTTTATATTTTTAATAAATAAACATTTGAAGTATAAGAAATTATATTTAAAAATTTCATAAATATTTAAGACACTAGTGTCTAATTTTTTTAAATATATTTTTAATCGGACATGTCTTTGGCAGTTCCGACACGTAACAAACACGAGTCGTATCCGATATGTGTCAGACACTGCATACCTCTTTTAGTAGAAGTGTCGGTGCAACATAGTAAAATATCTACCTATATTAGGATTCCTTTGCTTCAACTCCTCTTCTCTTTCCAGCACACTCCAGATTTTCCTTAGTTCAAAACTGAGTAAAATGAGCTCCTACAGGATGGATTTCCCTTGATTAACCATCCTTGATGCTAATCCTCCTTAGGTTTATCCACTTATTGTTTTTTACCACACAAGACCTTTGAATTCGTTTTCTTAAACTTAGCATGGCAAAAGATGGTCATGGAAGTACTGAGGTGTTGCTTTGGAAGATTTAGGGGATGTTTGGATGCATTTAGGATTTAGTAAATTCTGTAAATATGATTTTAACAAATACTGTGGGCTAAATCATGAAAATTATTTAGTATGAAACATTTTAAATCTACTTCAATCCAAGTAAATTATTTGTCTATTTGTGATAGGTATTAAATCTAGTTAAATCTAAGTAAATTGTTTGTCCATTTAATCTAGGATTTAAGGATTTATATGATTGGTACATCTTATTATATTTACTTTGAGACTAATTAAATCATGATTATTATAACTAAACATCTCAATTGATAATTACTTAGTAATTGATTAAGCTAATTAAATTATAACTCAAGACAAATTATATAAACAAAGAGTATCAACTAACTTGAGATAATAAATTTTTAATTAACCAATATAAATTATGAAGATTAATTTCATTATGAAGGTGAGACTTGTATATTTAAGTTAAATCTGCCTAATACGAAGATTTATTAAATATAAGGTTTAAGGATAAAAAGAGGAGAAAAGGGATTTACGGTTTTGTAGGATTTAAAATGTTCTTTTACACCAATTGATAGGATTTAGTTTAGATCATTCCTAAATCTAGCTACCAAATAGCCCCTAAAGGCAGTTAAATTTTAAGAAAAAGTTAATTAAAATTCACTGGACAAGGGGACAAAAGTTTGAATATGCATTGGCCACTTGTACAGATGATTCAATCAATCGAATATATGATTGATGGTCTTACGTCAGGAAGAATGAAATCTTATTGGTTAAACTTTAATCTCCTTTTATGAATTCTACTAATCATTTTCATCTCATAATTATGATTAGTAAACTAAATTTAATATAAGTTATGTTAGTTAGGAAGAATGAAAATCTTATTGGCCATTACAAAATTATTTGATTTTATCTCTGTGAAATAATTTCTATAAATAAGAAATAATTATTTGTATCCATAATTGAATATTGATTATTGAATCAATCCAAATTGTTTGTAAGGTATAGCTTAATTCAAAGTCAATTGCGTTACTAATTTGAACAGGAGGGTGGATAGGGTATCATTCACTGGCACATTCGTGAAGAAAAACAATCTATTAGTGTTGAATTCCCTTTCTAAAGCAAGATAGAAATGTACATAACTAGAAAGGAAAAACAATTTTAACGAAGTATACCTCACCAAATGCACCTTTGCCTATCATTATCAGTAAATCAAAATCATCAACTCCCATTTTATGCCTCTGAAGTCTCATGTACTCCGTCTCCTTTCTTTCCAATTTTTTGAGGATGCTATTCTGCTCTTCTTTGGACATGTTAGCATCAGCCAAATTTCTCTCGAGAATGTATCGTCTGTTGGCGAAATAAAAATAGAACCTGTTAGTACCATAATAGATTCCCCGCTTTATGTAAGTGGCTTTTTTTCACAGTCCATCATATCATAAAAATGTCATAAGAAGTACAACTGTCATCTACATTGTACCATCATTATTAAAAAATAGTAGAAATTTTAGCTAATAAAGAAAATAAATGCTGGGAAAGTTCAATATGTGAAGCTACATTTAGACCAAGGATTGGATATCAATAAATAATAGGTAAATTGTAAAGTCTAGAAATAACAAGTCAGCCTCCAATCTGTAGAGAACCCAAGATAGAGTGACACAAAAATTTTCCCTTTAACATAGAGTGTAGACAACAATAACATCAAGCCTTTATCCCACTATGTGGGGTCGGCTACATGAATCCTTTTTCTCCATTGTGCCCTTTAACATAGAGTGTAGAATGGAGAAAATTGTTTTTTTTCTTCATATTACAGTACAATATAATTCATATGATTTGAAAGAAACATAAACATATACATCAGTGTTTAACTAATAAAGCTAGTTGTATAATTGCGCCATATTTGCAATGAACAAGGACTTGAAAAGACAGCTCAAAGAAATTATTCATTTTACATTTTATTTCTTATCATATTCTTTTCTCATGGCAATTCTTCTAGTTGATAAGGCTAGAGAGGAAGTTGAAGGTAAACTCAAATTACGGAAGTAAACCTTAGAGTCTAGAGGTTTTCATTTGAGTAGATCTAAAACTGAATACTTAGAGTGTAATTTTAATAGTAATAGATCTAGTGGGGGTTTGTGACTCTGAGCGATCAAGTCATTTATAAGTGTACTCATTTTAGATATCATGTGTTTATTGCTCAGAGTGATGGTGAAATACATGGGGTTATTATTAATAGAATTCAAGTTGGATGGTTGAAGTGGAGAAATGCTTCGGGTTTGTTGTGTGATAGAAAAGTACTACTCAAACTTAGGAAAAAAATTTATAAGTTGGTGGTAAAACCTGCAATGCTTGATGGCACAAAATGTTGGCCATTAAAAGAGAAGCATAATATTAAGTTAAGTGTTTTTGAGATGAGGATGTTCAGGCCAGTGAATGAGTGGATTTACTTTTAGAGATTGGATACGAAATAAGCATATCCGTGAAAAGGTTGGAACAACTCCAGTGAGAGATAAGATTAGAGAGAGTTACCTTAGATGGTTTGGTCATGTAAAACGGCGGCCTTTCGATGACCCTGTTAGGAGAATAGATGTATTGGATTTGGCCCATATTAAGAAAGGTAGATGTAGGCCTCAAAAGACTTGGTTAGAAAATATTAGAAATGATCTTTCTTTATTAGATTTAAATGAGAATTTGACTCTTAACGGGACACAATAGAGAAAAAAGATTCATGTAGCCGACCCCACGTAGTGGGATAAAGGCTTGATGTTGCTGTTATTGTATTCTTTTCTCATGGCTAATCCTCTCTTCACTATCTAATATATGCTACATCAAGTTGAGTTAGAGCGAGTTTAGCTTGACTCAAGATCAGAATGTTCATGTTCATGTAGATTTGAATTCAGCTCGAAATTGAATTATCATTCAAGTAGAGCGGGCTCAACTTGAAGCAAATCAATTTCTAAGCCAATCTCAAAATCATGTCAAGTTGGTGAAAAATTACAACACATGATTTAAATTTCATTCGAGCTCAATTTCAAGCTAGCTTGAAATAATTAGAAACTATTCAATACATAACATATATGATTATATTTATTTATCTTAATATTTACAATTAAAATTAAAATAATACAAATAAATACAAAAAATCCTTAAATACAACAAATATAAAATAAATCACATGTAAACTAAGCTAGTCCTTAATGTAGGTATACTGACATTAGCAGCATATCATGATGAAATCACAGAAAAGTACTTTAAAAGCATGGACAAATATTGCAGGAGAAATTTAATTATCTGTGATTGAAATATAATTTTTTCAATATGACAATTTTTTAGGTGCCTTGCAAATGAAGTCATTTATGAAAAGTTTATGGAAAGATTTTTTGCGACAGAAATCACTAGAGTTATTTATGGAAAGAATACAATAATCGTTGATTTTTTTTTTAATTTTGAAAATTGTTGCATTACCATCATCATCATTAAACAAGTTGATTACCATCATGATCATCTCTTAAATTTGAGAGAATTTAAACATCAATTCTACTATGCAAATAAATAAGGAAATGCTATTTTTCTACGTAAACAACGTGCCTTCATCATCATCATCTTCTTCTTCTTCTTCAATTACGGGAGGGGCAATTAAGGAAGAAATTAAATATCATGGGAACAATGATATGAAATATGTCCCCTTGCATGCAAACATGATTTTACATACTCAGAATAATGGTGGAACATTCTCCCATTTCCTCCATTTTCTATTAAGGCTCCAATACAAGGGAGTTTGGATGGTTTACAATCAATTATCTCTTTAATTAAGCAAGATAACAATCAATTATATATTTAAATTATGAGAACTTTCGACTTTTCTATTACCAGTAGAAATTATGTGGTAATGTGTAATTTAATATTTATAATATTAGAAAATCAAATTGGGTTGAATCATAAATTTGGGTTGCTTGTATGCAAAGGAAAATGTAAAGCTTTGTGGCTTTCGCTTATTAGGCTACTTTGGTGAGTACGTATAGAATTTATTTATATTTTTATGTTGTTGTTCTTATGAATTCTATTACTTTTCTTTTGTAATGTTTATTGTTCTTCATTTATACCCCTCTTCATTCATGTTTTTGCTTGGTCTTCATTCCATTTTATAGCATGACCTCGCTGCATATAAAAGAATGCCATAAATCTACATCAATTTCCTAATGTTTTACCTTTAACCTCCAAAAGACAGCGGAAGCAAGTAACACAAAAATTATAATGCGTACCTTTCCCTCCGTTCCTTCAAGCTCCTCATTTGCTCTTTATAGTGAGTTTCTATATACTGTTTCGCAGCAGCAACCCTCTGTTTGGTAGCATTTGAAGGTTCCTCATCAATGGGAGGTTCATTCCCATCCTTTCCATCATCTTTCTTTTTATTGCTGAACTTTGCCCTGTCTTTATTCCGAAACTTATGAAACCAGCTCCTGGCAGCATCCATCCCCCACCACTTCACAAAGATAAATATCAAATGAATTTTTATTCGACTCTTTCTTCCGGAAAACAAAACCCTAGCCTCGTTCCGCAATATCAATGAGCCAATCTACACCAACGAAGCCGTATTTTTTCCAACTCACGAAATCGATCTATCCGCTTCCACAATCGCAGAAAACATCATTGTTTCCTACCCAAATCTCATTCCCCTTCTCGAAATCGAGAAGGAAGCGGGAAAGGAGGAGAGGCGTGGAAGAAGAAACAATAAGAAGAGAAGAGAAGCAATGAAAAAAAAAAAGGGAAGACAGATAAATCGGAGCTGGAGAATCCAGAATACCGCTGGAATAAAAATGGCAGCAATTGCAAACCCTAAAAATGGGGTGAGAGAGCCCGTCGCCGACCGCCATTTTCGCGCCTTTACCTGTTAGAGTCTCTCCCAAATCAACGAAAGCAACGAACACTTCCTCCCTCTCTTCGACCATTTTCTCTCTCTATCTCTCTACGGTGCACGCTTAGAAGTGTATGATTCGCTCAGTTTGGTTTAATTTAGTTTGACGTTACGCTTGATTTGGAAATATTAGGCTTTATACCGTTGCAACAATTTTAAAAATTATATAGAGGGATTTTGAGATTATTACGTGTGTGGATAGAAAATTTTTAAGTTTTGTCTTTGGGAATAGTGAAATCTCAGTGGTGAACAGTAAAAACGTAACACAAAGACAAAATCGGACGAATCTCTTTGTCTGGCCTAATAATTTCTCTACATTATGAGTAGGGGTGTCAATATTTGACACGACACGAAAACCCGACCCGGAAAATCAGTGCTGAACCCGACCCGATTTCAAAACGGGTCGGGTCCGGGTTCCAGAAATCGACCCGTTTCAAAAAACGGGTCGGGTTCGGGTTGACCCGGCGGG